GCCCGTAGCATCAGCAATGGCCGCCCTGCCCACAGCCTTTGCCCAGGCTGGGTGTGGAGGGCGAGGAGCTTTGCCACCCGGGCTTTTCGTGGCGTTGCTCCCAAAGCTGGCGGGCTGTGCTCAGCTGGTGGTTTTGCTTGCTCAGCACGTACCTGTCCGACTCAGTGACACTGAGGATACCTTTGTGCTCCTCCCAAATCCCCAACTGGCCTCTCTCCCTCCCACTGAGACCGTGTTTGTTGTTGACGGAGTCAAAAATCACTCCAAGACCCTGAATGTAAATGTCTCTGTAATTATGATGTGGTCATGGAGTAAGTGGTCATGAATAAACAAAGCTATGGCTGATGAAAAATGTATGCAGGAATAACCTAGACGTAGATTTTCAGAGAGCAAATGAGACTGGTCCTGTTTGCAACTGAGGCTTGTAACCATGGGTTTTTAAAATGTTCTTTAGAAAAACTGATCAACAGAGCAATATATCCAGGAAGGGGGGAGTGGGGGGAGCCGAGAAGGACCAGATTATGGTCAGCTTGTTTCTGGAGGTTAGTCGTTTTGACATGTACGATAGTTTAAATTTATCTAATTTTTTATTAAAAAGTGTGACTCCATTTTATGCTATCAGTGGTGCTGTGTTTAATAGCAAGAGGAAGAGCTGCAGTGAGCAGTAGCTGCCAACGTTGTCCTTCAGCAACACGATTAAGCAGCTGCCAGGAGAACTGCTGCGGGCACGCAGAGATAGCAGATGCCACCCAACACCCCTTCCCACAGGGAGGCACAGGCAGAGGAACTGGGTCTTCACCTTTTCTTTTGGTAACGTGAACGCCGGGTTTCTGCAATAACCATTGACCCAGGGTTTAGTTCTTCCCCTGTCGCTTCCTTAATGTACCAACAGCTGCGTAAAGTGAGCGTGGATCCTGGCACGCTGGGGTGAACCTTTAAACTGAGCGTCCTGTTGAAGACTCGGTTAATTTACCCCGTGCTGGAGAAAGTGGAGTCCCGCTTAGTCACTCGGTTAATCTCTCGCTCCACAAGCAGTACTTGTAAATAGGCGCTGCTAATTTATTCCGTCTCCAGGTACTTACTGGCCAGGTAGTCTGGCCTGGTGAGTGTTTTTCCTCTCCGTTGCCACATGTCTAGAAGAAAGCTGATCATTTCAGTGCTTGCCTGGCACAAGCAGGTATAGTTGAGGCTTTGTTTTTGGATGCCCGATAGAATCCATAATGAAATCCAATGGGGACAACCTACTACCCTCTGAAAACATGAAAGCTGAGCCACCCATTCAATTATTTTCCTTTATGCTAAACAGGCACGGATTTTAGTTTGAAGAGAAACATTTTGTTCGTGAGCATAATTTTTTGCAGCAACCTTTAAAAATTGATTGCTATACTAATTACAGGGGTTTTGCCATCACCCGAATACTTGTCAAGTGCATTTTTCTTTAGTGTTCACATTTTGGGGGATTAGGGGGAGGAAGGCTTTGATTTTGGGAGAGGTGAGAAAAGGATTTTTATTGACCAATGGTCAGTTTTTCAGAGAAATAAAAACATTTATTTCCATCTGTCATTTCTTGACTGTGGAATTCTATATTATAAATTATTTCTAGGGACAACTGGTATTTGTACGTCGGCATTCATGCTGCCTCAGGTTTATTTACAGTGGAAATGAAACCAAGACATCCTTAGGGCCTGTAGACCAGTTGCTTTTTCTCAGACTTCAGTTTGAGTGGTTTATTATTTCTTGAGGGTCTGGAGGGATCGCCACAACCAAAAATCAATATGTTGCATCAGGTCCGCGTATTGGCTTTGGCTGCTGCCTCATTGATCTGGTTATTGAAGACCCCAAAACTGACTTAGTATTTGGGATCCTCTGTCTGAGAATGAAACTGCTAAAATCATGTTCCTGCTCCTCTTTCAGAGAAAGATGCAGGCACATAGTACAAAAGTTTATCCCCTTGTCAGGTGAGCTAGCTCTGCTAGCTGGTAACCGGGAGCCAAACGTTGGTGCTGGGGGAAAACCCTAGTGCCAACCTGCTGAAACATCTTCTGTTTGTGCAAGGATGAGCTCCAGAAGTGGAGGTGTCCTCTGACAGATGGGGAAAAGTCCACTTTTCCTTCAATCTGTGATTTTTTTTTTCACCATTGTTGCTTAGGGGCCTAATACATTATTGAGGCCCGTGCCCCTAAAATAACGAAGAGCGTGCTATCTTTCAGCTGATGTCAGACATTATGGGCCAGATCCCATCTTCTGCCCTCTGTAGTCACGGTGAACTTGCCCCACACCCACATCGTGAGCTGAATTTATGGATGAGGGATTATGAGAAGCAGGATGGCGTGGCGATCGGCTGTCACTATCGTACGTCATCTCTGTCGTGATATATTGTGATGTATGATATAAAATAGCGTATTTTCGACTGCAGGTCAGAGGAAGCGTGGTTCCATCAGGCTCTTCCCTCTCAGCCCCATTGAAACTGTACATCCATGAGCTCTTCTCTCTGGAGAGGCTGTCGCTGGTGTGAGCAGGCTGGGTTTGTGCCCCTCGGAGAGTGTGGGGTGTTGGTGCTCTTGCCCAGCCCAGCAAGCCCCATCCCCTGGTCCTCAGAGCACAGCTCTGCCTTGCTGATCTGGGCAGAGATGGAGGGAGGGAGGTCTGTCTCTGTACTCTGGAGC